GATCGATCCCGGCCCCAGGCAAGGGCATCCTGACGGCTGCACGAGAATCAGCAGACGCCCGGCACTCGCCGTTACTGGATCTTGAAATTCGACGTGCGGGATTCGAAAGAGAGGTAGCCGAAATTCGTCAGCAAGCATGGGATGGGCAAGTGAGCAGCACGTGCCAAACTGAGAGTACCATCTGTGCAACCGAAGAAAGAATTAAATCAAGGCTACGAGATGCCCAGAACCGGTGGGCTAACAGTATCCGCGTGCAAGATGCCAGCATCTCTCCCCTAAGAGCCTCACTAGCAACATGGGCCCTATCGATCGATGACATAGGTGTTGTTTCGAGCCATGGGACTTCAACCCGAGCTAATGAGCTTAACGAGGGAGAGGTGATTAACACTCAAATGAACCACCTGGGTCGACGGAGAGGTAATCCACTACTATGCGTGTGTCAGAAATCCGTGACAGGGCATCCCAAGGCAGCTGCAGGCGCCTGGCAACTTAACGGCTGCATACAAATGTTCCGCGACAGCATAGTCCCAGGGAACCGCAACGCAGACAATATAGATGAGCAGCTCCGACAGTTTAAGCATCTGGTCTATCCCATGGATTCGATGAAGGTGCCTGACATGAAGGCGACCATGCTTACCTCCTTCGGCTTTGGTCAAAAGGGTGCGTTGGCTGTGGTGATATCACCCAGGTATATCTTCTCGGCCGTTCCGACTGCAACATTTGAAGACTACCGAACTCGGGTGTTACAGAGGCAGCGAACAGCCAACGTAGAATTTGTCACACGGCTAATGAAGAACTCCTTGGTCCAAGTCAAATGTGATCCACCGTGGAAAAGTGCTGAGACTATGCAAAGTGTCTTCCTTAACCCGGACAGTCGCTTAGCTGCTGATGACTCCTTCGGGGCGGAGACTCCACTTAAAGCTCCTACTCCAGATAGTGTAGGCGAGAGATCGGATGTCACCGCTGCGCTTGTTCAGTCTCTGCTCGAGCGTGTTACTCGGCGCTCCGGTGCAACGACACCAACCAGCGTTGGAGTCGACGTGGAGGAGATCATGAGCCTCCACATTGAAAACCTCAATTTTCTGCAGCGCAACTTCACACCTGCAGAACGAGACTACTGTTCTAAGGCAGCGAACCCACGCTCCGCATTTGCGGGTCGGTGGAGTGCCAAAGAGGCCGTTTTCAAAAGCTTCCGGGTGCCTTCTATGGGTGCAGGGGCTGCGATGCAAAATTTCGAGATCCTGGAAGAAAGCGGGAATCCTTATGTCAAGGTATGTTTGGCCATTACACCATTGATTTCCAGTATCAACTAACATGGCTCAGCTTCACGGACACGCTCACGCTGTGGCGATGTCCAAGGGTATCAGCAAGATTGAACTGGCGATCGGCCATTCTGGGGAAGTGGCTGCTGCCGTAGCGCTAGCCAGGTGGGCCTGAGTGACTTATCGGCCCCAGTCATTCTTAGTGCCAGGACGATCAGGAAGTAGAGTGATGTTTCCAGACAGTCTCAGTGATAATCCTTATAGATAGCACATAAGGTCTGTTTCATCCTAAAAAAAACTGGTTACCGAGTTCAACGCCTGGCTGGAAATACAAGGATTACACCTAGTTTGGCAGGAAACCGAGAGTAGAGCTAAAGATGGTGTGTGCAAGAGAAAAAGAAGGAAAATGAAGCCGGACTTGTTCCACAACGGATAAGGGATCGTCCGCTTTCCGATCACGTGCCATGGGCGCTTTCCTATTGCATCGCGTCAATGAATGGCAGAGTATCTCCAAGGAATTACGATAAACAACCTTGTGTCCCTTTTATACAGCTGGTGGTAACGAATTTCACTGTCTTACAAGCGAACCTCAGTGTTGATGCAAAATCATCTGAACCTACAATCCTCTCCGTCTCTAGATTCAGGAACAATTAGCCAACAGGAATTTACGCATTATCCTCTCACTAAATAGCTCCCTGCTTCATCGTCCAGGTTCATAGACTCCACGATTGATTCCTTCTTAAGCAACCCGCAAACGGCGCAGTCAACCTGCATATTAGCTTAGAACCAGCTTTTTAGCTATGTTGGCCGACACATCGGCTACTAGTACCAGATCACCTCTAGACACCTTTTAGCAACAATGTTGCTTGAATGGATCTATCATCATGATGAGAGTTGATATCAATTTCTGGATGGATTCGACTCTTTGCTATACGTTTTGAATTATCTCGAGACTATACTATAACTTTAATGAGGCTCATGCAGAGCCAGAGATATAATGCCATCAATGTGAATAGGGTGGACATTGATTGTGAATAACCGGAATATAGGAAAACTATCAGGTACTATTCACACCACCTACAAACCCTGATGACTATGGGAGTTCTTGTCGCATGCACTACCAAAACACGAAATATCACACCCTTCCCCGCTTGTATACTAAGAACGCGGCCTTCTCGCATAAACAGTCAACTCCCCAAAATAATCAGCCTGATCGTCCAGTTGCGCACCGTCATAGTTGCGCAGCATACTACCGACCCTCTCTGAATCAGGATCAGCCTCCATCGGACAACTACACACAAGTCACATATTAGCAAGAACAAAAAGTATGGACGCAAGAGAAGAATAACTCACCGCGCCCAATACATGCCCCGATTTATCTGTACCTCTGAAAGCGGACTATTCCAAACCATAGCAGCCGGCCATTGCACATCTGCCACGATCTGCCTAACGGGAATATCGGGACCAACAGAGAACACCAGCGTCTGCTCATCGATCTCCAAAAATCCCTCGGGGTCTTTTAGCACCGTGATACCGAGACCTCCCAGAAACTCAATATCTGTCTCATTGTACCACGGATCCTGGCTAAAGCACTGCACATCAAGACCTTGACTTATATTCCGTTCTTTCAAAACAGCGGCAATAGTCAACGTAGCAGCATGTTGGGCATAAGAGCGGACCGGAAGTTGCCCGAGGTTGTTCTTGCCGAGGGTTCCCAGTCCAAAGGCAACAATTTTGGTGATTGTGATTGCCTCGGGATCAAACCTCGGTTTCACGAAAGAGCCCTCTAGGTTAGAGCATGTCTCGCTTTCCTGCCATTCCCGGCGGACCAGCTTGAATGTATCGTCGATCTCTTTGAGGGTGACGCCAGGAGGGCTTGGGTCGCGCACATACGTAATGGAGACAGGGGTCGGGGGGTCCAACAGCAGATCGAGAAGGCGTGAGTTGAACATTGTTAAGCGCTGGATGCTGCTATAGTCGATGTTATATCTGCGCCTGCTTCCTCTGTTAGAGTGACAGACTGTGTTTGATTGGAGCAGATGGACTTACCATCTTTCGGCGAGGTCTTTAGGAACTTCGAGGCTGTATGTTTTTGCCTCACCATTCCAAGTTGGGATCTTAACTTTGTCTTTTCCCTGAATGATCTGCTCGTGAAGGTCCTTCAAGAGTGTCCGTGTAAATAGTGGCTTCCCAGAGTGGTATAGTTGCATAATACGTTGGACATTAGCTTTGGCTTTGGCCAGTTTTTCTTCCTTCTGTCGTCTCTCGGCATCAGAAGATCGAGATGCTTCCACGGTTGCTTGGTGATGGTGGAGGGGGATAGAGGCCGGGGTGGATGGATATTCGATGGCTGCCATTGCGAAGAGTTGGTTTCTGGATGATGCTTTTGCTTTAATTTATAAGTGCTTGTCGATGAATACCACCTCTACGGGAACTTCCACAATACTTAAATATTGAAGCCATGACTACATCACTGAGAACATGCAGCAGCTGAATATAGATGTTTGCCAACCCCAGAAATAGATGGGTATAGCCGCAGCGGCAGCAACCGCTGTCAATCCCAGCCCAGCATGTTCCCGGACGATCCATTCCAACCTGTTGGAAACTTCCGGGGGGTGTGATTGGTCATGTGTAGTTCACTAAACCTATTAATATCACCCGAATAGTGCGGTTTCCAGAGATAGAACGTGTTGGATTACTATACTAAGTAATATTAGGGGGATATATTTATAACTAGATGCAGAGCAGCAGCGCTAAGTTGGGTTGCAGGTCAGGTTTGCAGCAGCAGGGATATTAATTAATGTAGATTACTTTATAAATATAATCTCACGTGCATAAGCTGTTTCATGATGGAGAGGGCATTTTATTGGTTTCTAGGTTAATTTGGGATCAATTTTATGTGTTTGGGGGTTCATCCAACAGTTGAGTGGTAGCTGATTGGAGTTGTAGTCGCTCTTCATGCGCCGGGATGCGGCCAACAGCGGCGGCCTTCCGTCGGGTCGAGCACTGCTCGAAGACGCGATGAAAGATTGATTGGTTGTGGTGGTTCAGCCGTAGTAGGCGTTGCCAAGCTTCGTCGTTTCTAGTTCATCCTCGAGTTATAGAATGTAACATCCACAGCCGCAGTGACTACTTGTTGTTTCTTCAGTCTCCTTCAAAGAGCAGATCATGACAATCCTATTCATTGTTCCTCCTCTACCTACAGACATTCGGTAATATCTGCATTATAATAATCAGTGGACAAAAGACCGTCTATTATGGTTTTCCTACCACCTACCAAGGCAACCCAAACTGCAAGCTTAACACCCATCTAGTGCCTATACAAAGACCAGTACAAACTACAATTCACACATCATAATCATCATCTCTCTACCTTCCAAAAAAGAAGGAAGGCTTTACAGACACATCCCAGCTACTCATCGGCTTTACTTCTGATGCCGATCGCGCACCCCGCATTTCATCTTATCACCTGGTCTTATCTCGGACACCCTCCGAGATAGCCTATAATCACCTAGATGGTCGTGCATCTTGCTGTATACGGCAATATAACCCAGACGCATTGATCTTATCGCTCAGACCAAGAGTCCAAGCATGCTATCGACTGACCACAACGGCTTGCCATCGACGGATGTTGCAGCTTATCAGGGCGACGCAATGCCACAGGCCATGAAAACACCTTATATCTCTCCGCTCCCCAATTTCTACTTTCTCCCCAGCTAGACAACACTTGCCCTCACAATGACAGACTCAACATCAAATACCAAACCCCAAGACCCAGAAAAGTCCATCCCAGTCACAACAAAAGTAGACGACGTCGACATTGGCCAAATCACCCACCTAGACGAAGCCGAGATCTTCCTCCACGAACATGGTATATCCCACGACCAGATGCAAGAGATGCTCGACGATCCAGTCAGGACGAAGAAACTACGGAGACGAATCGACATGATTCTTCTGCCGTTGATGTGCGGGACATACTGTTTACAATACATCGATAAACAGGCTCTCTCGTACAGCGCCGTCTTCGACCTCTTCACCAATGCCCATATCAACAGTAACGAGTATAGCTGGCTAGCGAGTATATTCTACTTCGGTATACACCCTTCACATCATAATACACCCAGCGCAGCTAACCATACTATAACAGGCTACCTCTTCTGGGAATACCCGGCTAGCTACATCGCACAACGCCTACCCATCGGGACAGTCGTCTCATCCTTCGTGTGAGTATCCCCAAATCCCAATACACAACCCACTAACACAACCACCAGCATCGCCTGGGGCTCCATCCTCATGATAACAGCTGCCTGCAACAACTTCACCGGCCTAGCCATCTGTCGATTCCTCCTAGGCTGCTTCGAATGTACCAACCCATCCTCTCCCCATACCTAATTACTAACTAACAAGTACAGCCCCCATAACACCCTGCTTCATGATGATCGTCGGAATGTGGTACCTCCGACAAGAGCAGCCTTTCCGCGCGGGAATATTCTACTGCTGTAATGGCGTTGGATCGATGGTGAGTACCCACTACATCCTCTATCTACCAAAACAATCTAATAAATAAAATCAGGTCGGCGGCCTCCTCACCTACGCCATCGGCCAACTCAACACCTTCCCCGTATGGCGCGCGGTATTCCTCATCTGCGGCGGAGCCACAATCATCTGGGGCGTGGTGATGATGATATTCCTCCCGAACAGCATTCTCTCAAGCAAGAGATTCACCGTGGAGGAGAAGGTGTTGCTTATCGGCAGGGGGAGGAAGAATCAAACTGTTAGCCCTATCCCCTTCCCCTTTGCTTTCAGCCCAACTCACACTATACTAACAAAAACCATAGGGAATACTCAACCGCTCGATAAAATTATACCAAATCCGCGAAGCCTTCCTGGACCCCCAAGTCTGGCTATTATTCCTATTCACATTACTCAACGAGACGATCAACGGGGGAGTAGCTAACGTAAATCCCATCCCTTCTATCACCCACCATCACCCCAATACAATACTAACGATATTAACATGGAATACAGTTCGGCAAACTCATAATCAAAGGCCTCGTAACCAGCCCCCTCCTCACCACCGTCCTCGGCATCCCCCAAGGGGCATTCCAAGTCCTCTTCATCCTATCGGGAACCTACCTATCAACGCGTATCCCCAACATCCGCACCTTCATCATGATCGCATATCTAATCCCGACTGTGATCGGCGTATGTCTTTTATGGAAGTTACCCCGGGAGAGAGAATATGGCGTGTTATTTGGGTATTATATCGTGAGCTCCAATCCCATACCCCATCCATCTTCTCCTCCCTCCCTTCCCCAACGAAAGTACTAAGAATACCAATGTTGATGAATGATGATGGATGGTATAGATCGGCTCCTTCGTAACCTCCCTCGTCCTGGCCCTCCAACTCCCCTCCAGCAACATGGGCGGATACACGAAGCGCGTAACCGCCACGGCATTCGTGTTCCTGGCATACTGTATTGGGAATATTATCGGTCCGCATGCTTTCCTGGCGAGTGAGGCGCCGGTGTATCAGACGGGGTGTAAGTTGATTCTTGCGTGTGCGGTGTGTCAGATTGTTTGTGCGGGAGGGATTAGATTATTATTGATCCGGAGGAATAAGATGAGGGAGATGAGTAGTACTACTAGTAGTACTACTGTTGATGGTGGTGGGGAGGGGGTTATGGAGGATTTGACGGATTTTGAGGTATGTTTTCTATTTTCCTTCTTTCTGCCTTTGTGTGTGTGTGTGTGGTTTGTGAGGCTGATGGTGGGGTAGAATCCGAGGTTTAGGTATGTTTATTAATTGGTTGGTTATGAGTATGGATGGGTGTGGTGAGTAGTATGTGTGGGGAATGGTGTGGTTGTATATGTATGGGTGTATCTCATATGGTGCTGTCCAATGCCTCTGCTTTTTCTTCTACTGGTTTTAAGTAAAACTATAATAACTGGAATGCAGTATCTGCGGATGCCCCCAGTCAACTACTGCTCCACTATGCACTTATCTAATCAAATTCACGCAATCATCGTAAAATATACTGCATTATCTGTAAAAGACTGGTATCATAAATGGGCTACATTCAAGACTTTTGCTGCTGCCATCCCGCCCATAAACTACAATCAAATCAATAGAAGTAGCGCTATTGCTTGGACACATCGGCAATAACTTTGTATGTCGATGCATGGATACTTAATGGTCGAGTTCGCGGGTACACCGCCCCTACGATCTGCCGGTTGTGTCCATACTGGGGATAGATGCCGTCGGAAAGCTCTGCATAGTGCGCCTGGGGACGTGCCTCATGCAATGTCTCGAGGATTCTCTCATTCCACAAACCGGTGCACTCATTATCGGACAGCTGGAAGTAGGGATTCAGTGGCGGACAGGCCGAGTCCAAGTCGATGAAGCGGATGCGCATGTACGTCAAGGCAGTGTGCAGCTGCAGGCTGTGGACGGCCCCGAGGACGAGTTTCTCAAAAGAGCGGATAAAGTTCAGATTGGTGATGCCGGAAAAGTCGTCTAGAAATCCGAGTCCCGGATTGGCCCGCTTTTCGCGACAGCAGGTCTTGACCACCAAATCTAACGACTTGAGCTTGGACTTGGCCGGCCAGGTGGACATGAAGCTGCGGGTTGCATTGAAGAGACAGGCGCAGACCTTCCCCGTAAATGCAAGGGACTCCAACCGCGGGGCTGCCTCGCCAAGCAGGCGGCAGAGATGTGGTGGGCTGATTCCATCGTGCATCCAGCCGGATTGTGTGTTGTCCTTGTTGTAGAAGCCTTCCAGGCTGATGTTGACATGGACGAGTGATGGGGATATGCGGGAGAGAATCTCCGCGACAGTCTCGTAGGCCTCGAATTTGGGCTTGGCGTAGGCGCAGTGCCACTCGCGCACCCCCGGTAAGGCTTGTGACATGTTCAACCAATGTTGATAGTCGCGCATGATATTCCACGCTCCACGCATGACAAACGTCTGGACGACTGGCAGCGTAGGCAAACGCCGCCGTCCGGAGTGGCCGCATGGATCATCGCGGAATTGGCGGACCATTGGCGGTCGCTTACAGTGACCTCCCTCCAGGGTCAGTATGCGTGCTTCGGGAAATGCGGATTTGACGTGGGAGAACATCTCCTCCAGTGTCGCATTATGACTGGCATAGTGGTATCGATAGTCGGAGCTATGGTTGGTATCAGAGTCGTCCCACGCGATAGCTTGAGGCACTCCAGGCTCGACCAGGCCGGCATCCTCGTCATGCAACCGCCGGGCCGGAAAATGATGCGATGTATTCTTAACGGCGCGTTTTCCCCATACCGGGATCCAGATCTCGACATGGCGGACGTACGGGGCCAGGTGGGGATGTGCACGGAACCAGCGAGCACTTTCTGCCAATTCATCTGTGGTACCCTTGATTTTGACTAGGCAGTGAATTAGACAGATGCAACGAATTGTGGCGTTGAGGAAGACCAAAATTAATAAGTGGGGACTCACTGTGCCTGTAAATTCGGTCCTGCACCAGTGCTCGCCAGACAGGGGTGATCAATGCCAAATTGGAGAGCGCTTTTCGACGGGGATGACGCAACGACTTATTCCAACTGCGCGCGGACTTACCGGGCGCGCACGACGTGAAGGCCGATGCCCGCTCGCCAAACAAATGATCTAGAATGGCCTCGTGGATCTCGATGGGAAGGTCTTCGAAGCGCACTTGGGATCGGCAGGCCTGAGGTGTCTCCACGCTTATCCGTGCATCCTCCATTTCGGTATCCACCGGGGACTGGCAGACCAGCTGACCAGGCCCCACCGCCGGGGGATTAATGGGACCATCGAGAATCTGAATTTCGGCACTGGTGCAGCGACTCGCTTTGGCGTAGGGGATGGTTGTCGAGGCTGACGCTCTGGCCAGTGAATTGACCGAGACCGGACGGGGAGGGGGGATGGTAGAAATCATGGGGGACGATGAGGGGGAGAATATCAATGCAGACGGCATTCAAATCGAGGTCGCCAGCACCAAAACCGGGAAGCGCCAAACAGAGGAAGAGTCGGAAGTCGTAAATCGTTAGTTAAAGCAGGGCGCTGCGGGTGGGTCGGAAGTTAGTATTTCAATTACCTGTGACCAAGGCAAGAAAAAGCAAAGCAAAGTCTAAAAACGAGGCACTGGATCAAATTTTGGGGGGAATGCGCGCTGCGAGACATACTATTGACGGGAAGCTAAGAGCAGCGGGTGACGGGGGGAATTGTTGTGAGCGTTCTGTGGTCCGTGATAAGGAGAAATTAAAATAGGCAGGACGCTGGATGGAAGAAATAACGAGCGATAATATGAATTGCAGCCAGGGCTAGCCAACGTGGTCCATGGCGGTGCCAATGCTGATGCGTTGGAGGCAGATTGTCGCCAGTCGAACGAGGGGGCGAGATGCTAATGGGCGGTTAGGCAGTCAGGCAGCTGGGGGGGTGGGATTGTAGCGATGAGGAGTTGAGGGTTGTATGGAATATGTAGATCAGAATACAGAGATGGAGGGAACGAGAGCAATCGCAGCCAGGCGGGATGGGAAATGATGGGGAAGAAATAGAGTAGTGGGAAAGCGAAAGAATAGGAAGAGGATGGATGGATGGATGAGAAGAGACGAAACGAGATGGATGAAATGACGAGGATGACGGAGAGACTTTTTGAGGGGGAGAGAGTTAAAGAGAGAGAGGGAATCTTCCAGGCTCTCCTCAGGCACACATTCACCATGACCGGCAGTCATTCTTACGGCAAGACGGGAAAAGCCAAAACACAGCCTTGTTCGGGTTCCCCCCAAACCAGGTTTACAGGTTGTTAGTAGTATTTTGCTGGTCACGCTCTCCTCCGCTGGACTCATCACACCACCTGAATGCTACTTACAGCAGTAAGTATCCACCCCTTTTTCCTCGACTGCCAGCATACTGTTACTTAATCATGTGCATATCCTACTTCGTAGTTAGCTGGTTTATTTCCAGACCGCCATCTCACCTGTAGACCCAAGATAATCGACAATCGACTACTATCTATCAAGCAAGATACATATAGTGTATGGTTTCACATAAATCAGTGTTTGGTTCCCGTGGGCCCTTTGAAACACATCTCAAACGGGGTCAGCCCGGCGGGTCGGGGGGGTCTCCATTCCCAGGCCACTTTGGATGAGCCATGGCACAGACCACATGGGAGTGTCCACTCTCACTCATCCACTTCTACTTCCTCTCATGATGTAATATGTTAGATACAGATACTGTTACACTTCAAATTCGATACCTACTGTACATTAAAGTTAATCATATCATACAAGTTGGTTCGCATCATGCACGGCTGACCGCATATCATCCACCACAACACTTCACGGTAATGCGCCTATGAGGTGGTCCGCTTAATGCCCAACAGCGTCATAAGGACTGTGTTTGTCTACCCAGCATATCCACTTTCCTGAATACTTGGCTCCCCCGCATGTGGTTCTCCACACTATGGCAACATGGCAACACATCCATCGCATTCACTTCAATGCCTTACCATGCGATGGTGGGCCATTCTTCATTCAACTACATTCAATATCCCATTCTCCCGCACAAAAGCTGAGAACGAACTGGTCATGGTTAAAGGTATCTATCTAACTACATTTTGAGCATCAATCATCGCCTGCGACGGAATCGGAACCGAAGCCCATCATCGCTATCCGAATCTTGCTCCTCTCGCATCCGTTTTTGCACTCGGGGCTGACTTCGGGTCTCCCTGGGCGCTGGTGTCTCCGACTCGACCCGGGCCGACTGTGAGCGGGATGCCGCTGCGTCCTGGCTGACAGCCCGTTCGGCCGGACTGTCTGCTGGACTCTGCTCCGTGCGATTGCTGACCCAGTAATGGTCCCCAATTCCAAAGTCTTTTCGCGTCACTTCCTCTAGTGGCACTATTACCGTCTGGATGCGGTAGCGAGGCTGTCCAGGTTCGCCCTTGCGGCGGAACTTCTTGAAGTTCTTGCGTCCATTCCACCGATCGTCCCACCGTCGGTCTTCTTCGCTCACGTGTCTCGGCTTCACTTCCATCTCCTCTACGATTGCAAGCCCCTTGAGCTTCTCCACATTGACATCCTCAAGAGGCCCTTGCAGCGATGCTTCTTCCGCCTGACGCTGGCGCTGCGCATCTTCGGCCTCCCGATGCTGTCGCGCGGCCTCCAGTACGTCCAGTTTCTGGCGTTTCACCCGTGGCATGGCCTCGTCTTTTGTCTCGGAATTAGGCTCTTCTTTGGTCCTCGCCGTCGTCTGAGCGCGTCGACGCTTCATCGCTTGGGCACCCGGCAGTAGGCTTGACACCATGTCTTCTTCTTCCTCCTCTTGGAGGCTGCTTTGCGGTTGCGATTGTTGTGCCGGCGATGGCTCGATTTCCATCAAAGGCGGCGAATCATCAACGCTCTCCGGAGCATGAGCGGGGATAGAGTTGATATCGAAGCCATCATCGAATGTTTTCATCTTACTAACAAATCCTCGAACTCGTGGCTTCCTCTTCGTTGACGGCTGGCTTTCCGCCGGGGGCTGTGAGTCTTGAACTTCTTGAACATCAGGGGTAGCAGCTGCTGGAGTGGGTTCTACATCCATGTCCTGGGCCTCGGGCAGAGACCGGCAGAGACCAGAAGCGTCATTTCCCAGAATTGCGTCCAGGAACTCGCTCTGCTGAATAACGCGCTGGTCGATCGACAAAGCAACCTCATTACCGAGCTCGGCCCACCAATTCTCATGGCGTCCAGTCGCAACGTAACGAACAAGAACCACTCCGCCAGGGCCATCCCGTTGGCTCCCGAGACCTTTGTCGCCAGCAGCATTTCTCATAAATTGCACGATCTCTGCCGCCGTGGTGACCCCTTCTTCCACTTGGTAAAGCAATGCCTTCCCGTGACCATTCGTAATGACATCCTGCAAGTTTCCAAACTGCGCAGGGTCCATGAACACGAATGTGTAGTCATCGAAGATATTGATTCTATCGGGTCCAGGAGCAAATGCTTCCTTTGGTCTCTGTACGGTTTCCTTGCCGGGTGGTGGAAGATGTGCCATTGCATCCGGCCATGCAGTGTCGAAATCGGCCTCCAACGGGGACAACGACTCGAGGTTCTCTAGGTCGCTCGGGGTAGCCGCATAAACCAAGGCGTCGATATAGGAGTCCTGCACGATGTACTTTCCATTCACCAATGCTTGCAGACCTTTGGCAGTATTGCGTTTCTTCTGGACGACGTGTGTAGTGTGGTCGACAACGTACGGAACAATCGTTTTGATATCCAAATCCTCGACACGGGAGCGCACTCGTGCCAGGGGGTCTTTCGCTTTGAGTTCCTTCGAGGAAAAGGAGAAGGTAAGAACGACCGGCTGCCACTTGATCCTAGTAACCACCACGGTTAGTCCCTGCCGACATCGTTCCTTGCCATGGTAATTACCGCAGCGCATGTTCGTATCTCCCCAACTTAATTTCATGCTCCTCACCAGTCAGGTCTTTACTTTCATCCTTCACCGTATTACCATCCACTTTGGTGCCATATTTCGAGCCCAAGTCGCGCACGGCAATTTTCGATCTGGTGTAGATATGCGACTGAACGGTTAGCGGGGAAAGCAGAGGAATTAGATCATCGTACTCCATCGCCTGGTTTTACAGGTGAAACTTCGATCATCATATGCTTTCGGGAGATGGACTTGTTATCAATAGCATGTCGGACTGCATGCGACCAAAGTCAGTATAGCGGAGTTTGACCATGGTCTCAGCACCTACCTCCATCTTGCTTGATCCGACCGAAGAGATACTTCTTCCCCGGTCGCAGCCACACGCGCTTGCCTTTCACAATCAGCCAAACCCGGAAAGCAGTGAGTGAAGATATTACCACCCAGGAAGTCACCCTCCGAATCTAGAATCCACATGGGAGCGGTTGTGTGCCTGGCAGCGAGATGCAGCTGCTCGGATGAGTTGACATCAGCGGCACGTGAAACACGGCCCGTCACGCGTGTTCACGTGATCAGGCGTCGCAATAGCTGCCTGCTTGGGTAATCTTATGCCCTTCAACCTCGCTTCCATCATCAGAGATGGAGCCTTCGGGCGAGGAACCAAATGATGATGCAAAGGCGTCTAACAGTGTGGAGTCTGCTGAAAGCTACGATACCTTGAAATATCAGCTCTTAGGACCGTCTTTGACCAAAGCGGGCCAAGATGCCGTGGACCAGCGAAAGGTGAGTATGCCACGACGGTCTAGGAGTATAGCTAAGATTAGCAGGTATCGGAAATCATTTACAATGCCTCCAAAGGCTCCAAGTTTTTCAATCATGAGCAAAATCGGGACAAGGTCTTGACGGTGAAGATTGAACGCATTCTCAAAGAGAAAGCCCGTCTCGAGAAACTAGATCTGTCGGCGGATCTACGACGCGCTGACCAGCTTCTTGCGGAGCTAGAACTGACGCGAGATCTGTCGCAGCATGTTGTTCACGTCGACTGTGATGCCTTTTTTGCTGCAGTGGAAGAACTCGACCGTCCGGAACTGAAGACTGTCCCTATGGCAGTCGGCAAGGGAGTGCTGACGACCTGCAACTATGAGGCGCGAAAGTTCGGCTGTCGGAGTGGCATGGCATCGTTCGTCGCGAAGAAGCTATGTCCTCAGCTGATCTGCCTGCCTCAGAACTACGAGAAGTATACGGAAAAGGCAAAGGAAATTCGTGCCATTTTCGCACAATACGATCCCACATTCGAAAGCGCCAGTATTGACGAGGCGTATCTCAATCTGACTGCATATTGTACTGAGAATGAGCTTGACCCCGAAGAGGCGGTCCAGCGGATGCGAGCAGAGGTCCTAGAGAAGACCAAGATATCAGTTTCTGCCGGCATTGCGGCAAATGCAAAAATAGCCAAGATTGCATCCAACAAAAACAAGCCAAACGGTCAATTTCGCGTCCCTAATGAAAGAGAAGCGATCATGAAGTTCATGGAGGAGCTGCCGGTCCGCAAGGTGAATGGCGTCGGCCGTGTCTTTGAACGTGAACTTGATGCGATTGGTATAAAAACATGCGGGGATATTTATCCGCAGCGTGCCATATTGACCAAACTTTTTGGAGAAAAAGCGTTCCATTTCTTGATGCAGTGCTATCTCGGCTTGGGTAGAACCAAGATTCAGCCGGTGGAGAACTACGAGCGCAAGAGCGTGGGGACGGAGAGGACGTTCCATGAGATCGGAAATAAAGAGGAGTTCAGAGCGAAGTTATGGTCGATAGCAGAGGAGCTTGAAAAGGATCTGGCACGGACCGAGTTCAAGGGTCGTACATTGGTTCTCAAGGTCAAGCTCGCCACCTTTGAGGTTCTATCACGACAATGCCAGCCTCCACGGGCGGTATCTACTGCCAAGGACTTGTACGCGTTTTCCCTCCCGATGCTGGAGAAACTGGAGAAAGAGATGCCTGATTTGAAGATGCGACTGCTTGGACTACGGTGCACCAATTTGGTGAGCACGAAGAAGGTCGGCATAGAGCTCTTCGGCTTCACTTCGCGGCCAAAGCCCGCTTCGGAGGTGGCCGATTCTCCGGTGGAACAGGAGATCGAGACAGAGGAGGCATTTGAGAAAGCGGCACGGGAAGAATTACAAGAGGAGCTCGATGATTTGGAGAAGCTGAGCCAGGAGGTATCTGAATCTACAGAAAGGCAGGATGAAGCGGCTGCATCACCGTCGCAGCCAGTATATTGGGATTGTCCGATCTGTTCCCGACCTCAGGTGGCGGAGGATCGTGCATTCAATGACCATGTGGACTACTGTTTGTCAAGACAGACGATCAAGGAGGCTGTTCAGGGTGCTTCAGATGCTGGTCCGGCTGAGGCTCCGGCTGCATCGAAGACACGGAAGCGGAGGACAACGGAATCGCCCGATCCGCGACAGAAACGGTTGTTCTTCTCGTGATGACTTTGTATGGTCGCAGCATACTATTTCAGCAGACTGGGCTTCTTCCCGCCCAGCCAACCTAAGAGTGGACAGTAGTCTACTCCAGCAGGGCGTTTAACCGCATGGCAGTCGCGCTGCACGCACGTCCCGCACTATTGCCGGCCACGGTGGCATTGCATCTGACACCGACATGGCGGCATTTCAATCTCGGGCAGAAAAGATCGATCGGATTGACACTCTGTGGGATGGCGAAAATTGGAATCATCCATTGCAAAGGGTCACTCCTGGCGATTACCCGCTCACGATTCTCACCAGATCTTATTAGGTCACAGTACGTGATATAGATCAGAGATAGGCCTGTTTGCACCGCTTGGGTATAATTTGAAACTATAAGGGCTGTACTATGAAACACTTGTATATAGGACAAAGATAGAACTTGGACTCACTGACATTTACTACATGACACATCAATGGTCACGTACCTGGCGTTGACGATGAGATATTAATGCCATAAATATCGCAGTAAGGCCGTATTGCATGCATGAAGAGGTTGGTTGGTTATACTGCATTGATTAATTGTTGGCTGGCATCCAGCCCGACGGTACTATTAATAGGTTAATTAAGGGTTAGTTAAGTCCTGACGGAAGTATCTACATTAAACGAGGACCCATCCACGGTACTCCTGAGTATGCTATACTTAGCTACTCTACAAATAATACTACAAAGGGGATAACAATAATACCTTGAATACAGCGTCTAGCATTTACCAAGTATCGTGTCAACACCAACACTACACGAATAGATCAGTAAGTACATACCAACCCGCATGATCCCCCCGATAAACTTCACCACATATCACAAACCCGCATTGACAACCAGGAAGGAATGTGGAGTCTAGCCCCCCTCCCTCATCCTCTCCTGCTTGCTTCTCTTCTTCAAAGATCAACGTGGCAGGCGGCCCCTTGCATTCCCCGAATAATTCAGTAGTTTGTCACGCATCACGTGTCGGCAGTAGGTTCGGGTTCGCCATGGAGACGTACAGTAATGTTTTGATCGACGAGATCTGAACTGATAAGGGACTGCAGGGAATCAATCAATCAGTCACATCTGTCAGATGATCAGATCAGAAAAATATACTCCGGGTTCCGTGGATTACAGTAGTGTACAGAGTATCTAATGTCAGTAGGGTAGGGAGTAATGATGGGGTGATCGGCGTGATGGTTGTCCGGTTACTACTCCGGAGAGAGCCGCAGCTCCGACTTCACCCATGGTCAGCCCATGTGAAGGGGTGACTGCGATCAGTAAGGGTGGTGCAGTTGAAATTATATATGCTACTATTTTTGAAGATATGAATGGTTTCAAGTGGTGATAAATTCACAAGCCAGAAATATATTATAAAATGTATAGACAGAGAAAGAAGAGAATGAATTCGGGATAAGAAACAACTTGATTAAGGGATCTCTGAATTGCGGTGAAAGGGGGAGCCACTAAGAGACTAGCCGGATTGGGGAGGGGAGGGATGTTTTGCACCCAAAACAATTAATTATCCTTCTTTTGTTGTGTTGAACAACAAATTCAACGCACTACATCGTCATCCCACACTCCCTCCCCCATCTTCTTCTTTTCCCTCCTCCTTCTCCTCCTCCTCCTCTCATCACCTGGACGGTCCCAAGAACCCGCTGTCGACTGGCTGGTGCCATCATCATGCTTGCAGATTCTCGAGCACTACTGTCGCAATGCCATGAGCCGCTCTCCTTTCCGCCCCTCGACTCCCGCAAGTATGAACGCCGCCGATAAACAAAACAATGGCCATCTCGCCAAACCTCTCACCCCCGCCCTCAGCGCTGCCTTTCATCGCTCTCAAAAATCCCCTCTGACTCCTCGACTCGCCACTCCGGGGGGTTATCGAACTCCCAAGCGACTAACTCCCTCCGAACATCCCTCGTCCGTCCCCTCCAAGCGGGATCCCGAGCCACCTTCATCCCTGCTCAGTGCCAATGTTACCCCTCGATCCGGTTCCCGCAACAGCAGACGTGATGGTGCTATTTCCTCCCCAAACAACACCCCGACCAACGGGCACCAGCAACAGCAACAGTCGCCCCAAGTTTCCTGGTCACAACCGCATGTGGGCCAGCTGTCAAATACGGGGCGACTCCGGACGGAGCGGAGTCCCGTTCGGGGGGGAATGCTGGAACCATCGCGGACAACCCGGGCTAGGACCGTGACGATGGAGTCTAACCAGCTTTCTCGTCCGAATTCTGCGTCGGATAATTCAGCCGGAGCCCCCATGTTTTTTCATGCGTCTGATGCACGATCGACTATTTCCGAGCAGGAGCCCCGCCCGAAGCTGCAGACCAAAACGTCCGGCACCACTTTTATCTACGCGAACGGGGCGCAAGAGAGGCAGTCCCCGGTGAGTGAGGTGGGCGGGACGTATAAACGTCGGTCGATTGGCTTGACGCGATCGGTGGTGTCGGCGAAACCGTCTGCCTCGCCGCGACTGCGACCGGCCAGGGTGGACTCGAATCCGCGGCTGTCTGATGGGCCGTCGGTAGTCGGGTCGCAGGATGAGTCGTTTGACGCAGGGTCACAGGCCCATAGTCCCCCGCTGAGCAGTATATCAGCGCGACCGATCCCGGCTGTACGACACGTTAAGTCGTCGAGTCTCGACTCTGCCAATAGTGGACTCTCCCCTCCCCAGAGGGAAGGGCTGCGGCCTAGCCCGCTTATCATATCACCATCAGAACCAAAGATTGACGCCAGTACTATAGCGTCTGAACCACTGCCTGGCCTCCGGCCGCGAGTGTTCAGCAACGGGTCCATTGCTTCAGTGGATACGCATAACTCGGGGATGCAGAGCCCGTCCAAGTCGGAAAGCGGACAGGCCAACGGCGCCCTCAATGCGCGTACGGAGCGGAAGATTATGGATCTCGAAATCAGCAACTCGTCGCTTCTCGCCATTAACCGCACGCTAGAACGGGAAATGCGGAAGCAGAATGCAGAGCTGCGCAGATACCGACGCCTCAGTCGCTCGGGGCGTCTGTCCATGGCGACATCCAGCCGGTCCGTGTCCGGTGCTCTCTCGATTCCTCCTGAAGTTGAGGAAGCGAGCGAGCATTCGTCTGTGCGGTCGCCAGAAGAACTCTCCGACTTTAGCGACGAAGACTCCATGGAAGACGGTGTGCTGAGTCCCGACTCGCAGGCAGATCAGGACTCCCAGCATCGTGCGCGGGACGAGAAACGGTTCCTCATCGATCTGGCGAAGCACCAGGAGCTCCTTGCCGACAGCCAGCGGCTGAACCAGAGCCTCAAGCGGTGTCTGGGATGGACGGAAGAGCTGATCCGAGAGGGACAGCGCGCACTGGAATATAATGTGCATGTGAACGACGTGCAGCTGGGCGGACGCGTGCTGACCCCGGAGGAGCTGAATGAGCTGAACGAGCTCAACGAGCTCAACGAGCTGCACGAGCAGCAAGAGCTGGAGCTATCTCGTCCATCGAGTCGGAGCGACTCCGAGCCACCTTCCGAGGATGGCTGATACTACTACTATCTAGACTAATACGGCGTCGCTGGTGTACTGCTATTCTGTGACTAAAGCTGGCATTTAGTCTGCTTCCTATCTGTTTGTTTTCATATTTGTTTCGTGTTGATGGCGATAGATGGCGGCCGGCAGCTATTTGAGCTAGATACCCATACGCGTGATTTTCTAGCATACCATATACCAATATCATACCACTTGCATCACCACACTCACACACCATACTTCACTACAAAGTAATAAAATCAAGGCCTCCCATCCCCAACCTGCCCCCCACCACTCCCCGCCCCCTGAATACACGCCTCCTCAAACGCCGCCAACTCCTGCATCTTGCCCACACCACCAAGGAACCCCTCCAGTGCACAAAACCCATTCCCACCCGCAGCATCCTCTTCACACCCAGACACCCCATCCACAGGAACCGGCATCTCATTCAACACCCACCTCACAAACTCCCTCCCCTGACCTTCCTTCACAACGTCATTCTCATAAACCACCTCCCCACCCCCGTCCACCACAATCTCCTCAGCAGAAGAAGCCTCACACCTCCACACCTCAGTAACAAACCTCGCCCCGAACGGCGCAATATGATTCAACCTGAACGTCCTATTCAACGGAACCTCCCCAACCCCAATATCCCCTCTCATCCCTTCTTTCCCAATATTAAAATACTCCACTCCCAGCGCAGCTAGAACAGAAACAATCACATCATCATGCGACATATCAAGATACATTGGCTGATTCAACGGGAACGTCTCAGGCTTACTATCATAAGTAATGTTAACGTTCGCAACCTGCTCCGTGATGAGCTTCCCCTGTAAGCGGGCCGCAAGCTCAATTACATATCCAATACCCTGTGCCCTACCGGAGGGTGATCCGAATCCGTAGTCCCCGTAGAATTGCAGATCGAGGATGTATGCGAAGCTTTCCCATTCGGAGGGCGTGAAGAGGGCGCAGAAGGAGGAGGAGCCCAGTACGGCGGTTTCGTATGCGCAGAGGTTTTGCATGCTGAGGATGTCGAGCGCGGTGAGATTTAGGGTATTGGGGAGGTGGGGGGTGAGGCGGGTGATTATGGGGGGTGTGTAGGTGCGGAGGAATTGTTCGGCGGAGTCGTCTCTATTTATCTCTTTTAGTATGCTGGATGTAGGGGAAGGGGATTGGGATAGGAACGTACCCCTCTTCAGTATCCCCGTTTGGACAACTCCCTGACAGGGTATTGTTATATCCATCTCCCTCTGGGATAATAACCAGGTCGTAGTTATCAGCGGAGCTGTTGGCTGCGATATTGCTGAAGAAGCCGCCTATACCAACCCAACCCTAATCAGTACACCACTCCAACTATCACAAAGTGTCGGGACGGGGATAGGGACATACTCAACCACCACCTCGCACTCTCCAAAATCCTCGCCTGACTCGTCGTCCTAAACATAGGTTTATCCCTCCTCGTGCCATTCGGCCAGACATTCAACTCATTACTCCAATCCGCCATGCCAGCCGGGGCATCATACAACACCCGTCCGTAGCGAGACCAGTGAAACGCACCGGAGGTAGCTTCCGTTGCGGCGCCGGTAGGGAGAAGGGCTTCTGTGCCCATGAGATAGCGCCATTTATTGAGGAAAGACAGAGGGCCTGTGGCGAGGGTGCTGTTTGGGTGTGCTTTGGTGTAGTTCTGCAGCTTCTGGGCAAAGGATTCCATGCTGTCGGCGTCGAGGAGGTACGAGGTTGGATAGCGTTGTGCGTGCCGGTGTAGGATGTGTGCTTGTGTTAGTTGGCATTGTTGGGGAGTGCCTGGGGGGATTCCGAAGCCGGGGCTGGGGGTGTAGGGGGAGAGGTTGCCCCATGTTGAGGGGAGGGAGAAGGGGGTTGTTTTGTTGCTGGTTGTTGCAGTGGTGAGGGTTAGGAGGCACAGAAGTGCCGTGAGGAGGATCATGGTTACGGTGGTGAGGGGGTTACGTGGGGAGATGGTGGAGGGAGGGCAATGTCTGATTTATAGGGAGATAAATACTGGAATCTATCTTGCTACTAGGAAGTGGAGCGGAGTCCGTCGTATCAATGCTGGCCAGCCTGCTAGATGTGCGGGGGCTGGTTGGTAATTTGTTTAGTTGCTAGTTGGAAGTAGTAGAGATAGGCATATTGCGGAGTCGAAGCTTTAGACCGGCTTAATCTAAGACAAAACTGGTATAAAAGGAATACTGCAATGGATCCAATACTGCAGTAGTCATAGTGTGTGGTGAGTCCGGGAAAGCCTTCCGTGGCTGATTGTGGTAATTGGTCGCGTGAGGGTTGGAGACACTCGGAGAGAGACCGGCAATCCTGCCAAAGCGGGGTCGGGAGGGATTCAGTAGCCTGTGAGATGAAGTACTCCTGGCAGTAGAAAGCTTATCAGAAGGTGAGACACGGCGGGACGGGTAGGAGGAGGGCTTAGTCGGTATCTTGGAGGGGCCTCGGTGAATGTTAGGGGTAGGATGCACGATTCCAGGTTTATACCACTGCCAGATACCTTAGGGTATGCCGGTTTATGAGGTGACTTTAATGATAGTACTTAGAGTGTTTATAGGTGGTATTAGGAGATACTACTAGTACTTACACAAACTAACTTAGGACTACTGCTTTCTCCTGCAGCCGTCTTACCACAGCATCCCGCTACACCTGCAGGTTTAGCCCGCGGTGTACCTTCTATCGTACGACGTCACTTACTCCGCATTTACTAGTAACTAGTGTTCCTTGGAAGTCGGAGATGTCCGGTCAGTAACGGTGAGTCAGTAGTAGTAGTAGTAGTAGTAGTAGTAGTAGTAGTAGTAATAGTAGTAGTTGGCTGATTAACCGGGACACCGTTACGGCCGAGATATATATTCCGTCGGAAAAATCTGTAGCACTACTCGTGACTGTTTCAGCCCTACAGGCACCACCACCAATACTACCAGCAGTGGTAATTGCAACAGTAATGGTCTACTACATGAATATAGTCATCTGCTACTCTATTACGATCTGATATACTCGCTACACACATATCCAACTGTCCAGTCTGAAAACAAAAATAGACTATGCAAGGTATCTAGGCAGTGGCAGTAGGCTCTTCGTGATGGTGCTCGTGCTTCTTCTTCTTCTTCTTGTCCTCCTTGCCCTTCTTCGTCATCGACTCCGCCATCAGCTGCTCGAACGCCATAAAGTCGCCCTCCTCGTCGGGATCGCGCTCAGCCTGTACCAGTTAGCATACACCAAAAGTCTTGTAGTAGATAAGTGTAGTGGCATACCTTGGAGTAAATGTTACCCGCAATCACCAGAGCATGAGCACGCTCAACGCGCTTGTCCAGCTTGATGCGCTTGTCTCCGAGCACCTGGTCACACACATCGCGCAGCACGCTCTGGATCTCGAACTTGCTGCCACGCCATGCTGCCGCCAGAATCTTGCCCGTCACCTTCTTCTCGTACTCGGCCTTCTTCTCGTCCGTCCAGTCCTCTCCACCGCGCTCTTCCAGCTTGGCCATTTCCTCCATCGTCATCTGCGCATCGATGGCGGTGGAGATGGTGGTCCAAGTCTCCTTGGCCAGCGTACCCTTGTCCTTCAAACGCGAGAAGAACCCAGAAATACCGAGGAACTTCTGCGACTTGAGGAAAGAGGTAGCCTTCTGCACATAGGTGGCGCCGATGGCGTGCAGGATCTCCAAACCGAACGACTCCATCTTCAGGTTCTCCACCTCCAGACGGATCTTCTCCTCGAACGCTCGGGTCATTTCAGGGCTCTTGTCGGTTTCCGTCCACACGCTGATCTTGTCGACCAACTTCGTGGCCAGAGTGTTGACGCGCTCCTCGCGCGCCTTCTTGCGCTCCAGCTCGTACGCCGCCAGACGCTCCTGTTGCTCCCGGGACAAACCACCCTTCTTCTTCTCCTTCTTGCGCAGTTCCTTCTCCTCCTGGGACAGACCAGCTGCCTCCATGCGTGCCTCTTCCTCCGACTTGTCCATGATGGCCTGCTGGCCCATGTAGCGGCGGGGGGTGCTCGTGCCGGAGCTCGGGGATGCGGCGGGCTTCTCGGAAGCGGCAGTCGTCGACTCGGCGGGGGTGGATGCAGCTGGAGCAGCACCTTCGGCAGTGCCTTCAGCGTGCTCCTGCTCATCGTGGATGTTCAGTTTCTCCTCGGCGGATGCGGCCAGTTCTTCCTCCTCCATCTGCTGCATGGTGATGTCCATAGTAGTGGTGAGGTCCTTCATGAGCGAGATTTCACCGATAAGATCGACAAAGGCGTTGCCACCGAAGATCATGCCAAAGAATTCCGAGGGGTCCTCTGGATGGCATTAGTATCCGACTGTCTCCTGCGAAAGATGTGTCTTACCGAAACCTCCACCGGGGACAGCATCTTCCTTTCCAAACTTATCGTAGCGCTTGCGGAGTTCTTCATCGCTGAGAACTTGATAGGCTTCACCAATCTGTCATGGAGAGATGGAGTCAGCGCATGTCTTGACAACAAACAAACAACGGTATCTACCGACCTCCTGGAATCGCGCATGCGCAGTCTCATCGCCGGGGTTCTTATCTACGACGGTTAGCGCTGGACAGCCAGATGGCCGCTGCAAACGTACCCGGATGGTGAATGATGGCCAGTTTGCGATAGGCCTTCTTGATCTCGAGTTCGGTGGCAGTGGGCGGCACCCCGAGGGCGTCGTAGTAGGAAGTGTCGGCAACCATGGCGGGCAATGTGAGCAGGACCCAACCACGCAATCAATCTAGCGGTCACCGATGCAGAAAATCAAGGCCAGCCGGCAGGCAAGTTGCAGAAATAGATGTCGACCAGAAATAGGACGGGCTGGTAGAGACGGTAGTATCGATGTGTCTCCTGTAATTTTTTCTGCCTAAATGATGTTATTTTGGCTTTTAGTTTTCCGCTGGATTTCTTCCGTCATGGCGGGGAGACAAAACAGTCACTTGCCAATGCAGATGGCCTGAGGCGGGTAGATGGTCCCGTATTGTAATACAATAGTGGCATTCTCTAGTTTCTACGACAAACATGTCATGTATCTGTGTACTGCCGTGGTAATACCGGCATCTGCGCCTGCACGCGCTCAGCCGCCAGCCAGAGCCGCTAGCCGCGCCGCCTTTCAAGCGGGCCTTTAAAATTTTCCTTCTTTCGCTTTCTTTTCTTCTTCTTCTTTCTTTTCCTTCCTCGTCTTCTGTTTATTCCTCCTTCTCTCTCCTCTTCCTCTCCTCCCCCTGATTTACCCTCTCCTCCCCCAATTGTTTACTTATTTCCTCTTCCTCTACACTTCTACCTCTCCCTCTCCCTCTCCTCCCTCCTCCTTCCCTCCTACTCCTACATTCCTCCGTCTGCTTGACTGGATTCCCCGTCTCCTCTCCACCTCATCCTCCCCAGCCAGTGAGGCATTCGCTCGCTGTGCTTGTACATTATTGTACCATCCCATCCCTTTCTTTCCTCGCGAATTCCGTTGATTCGGTCATTCTCCGCATTGCTTCCATTCCCTTTCTTCTTACGTGTAATAATTCCCATTTTACCCTAATTCGTTTTTCCATCCCGTCATTTTTGACCGTTCGATCGTAATCTACCCTTCACCATGGGTCTCGCATCGAATGCCATCTACTACACCTTTCATCCCTCGGAACTGAGGTCGATTATGCAATGGTTGGTTCCGGCCCTTGTCCTCGACCGGCTATGATGGGGTTTAGTGTGTTGTGCCAACGCTTACGAAGGCTTTGCCCGTGGTCATAGGAAGATCTGGCACTCCCCGGTTCATGAGCGCAATGAGAAGAACGAGACCGAGACTGAGAAGGCCTGCTTCAAATTCCTCGACCTGACCAGTCGGAGCTTCAGCGCTGTCATCAAGGAGCTCCACCCGGAGCTGTTGATGCCCGTCTGCGTCTTCTACCTCACACTTCGCGGGCTGGACACAATCGAAGACGACACGTCGATTCCTTTGGAAACAAAGGAACCTCTGCTGCGTGGCTTCAAGGACTTCCTGGAACAGGATGGCTGGACCTTCAATGGCAACCGCCCCGAAGAGAAGGACCGTGAGCTGCTGGTTCAGTTTCACAATGTCATCACCGAGTTCAAGAAGATGAAACCCGCCTACCAGGCCATCATCAAGGACATCACCGACAAGATGGGCAACGGTATGGCCGATTACTGTCGCAAGGCGGCCTTTGATGACGCCAGCGTGATCACCGTCGAGGAATACGACCTGTACTGCTACTACGTCGCTGGCTTGGTCGGTGAAGGACTGACGCGCCTCTTCGTCGAGGCCGAGTTTGGTAACCCTGCCCTGCTGGAACGCGCGCGTCTGCACAAGTCCATGGGACTCTTCCTCCAAAAGACCAACATCATCCGAGACATCCGAGAGGACGACGATGATGGACGTCGCTTCTGGCCCAAAGAGATTTGGTCCAAGCACGTCACCAAGTTTGAAGACCTGTTCAAGCTTGAGCACCGCGAAGCTGCACTAAACTGCAGCTCCGAGATGGTGTTGAATGCTTTGGAACACGTCGAAGACTGCCTGTTCTACCTGGCTGGTCTGCGTGAGCAGAGTGTCTTCAACTTCTGCGCTATTCCGCAATCCATGGCCATTGCCACGCTGGAACTCTGCTTCCGCAACCCCGCGATCTTCGAGCGTAACATCAAGATCACCAAGGGTGAGGCTTGCCAGCTGATGTTCGAGTCGACGCAGAACCTGCGTATCCTCTGTGCTGCCTTCCGCAAGTATGCGCGCAAGATTCACAAGAAGAACACTCCCAAGGACCCTAACTTCCTTAAGATCAGCCTTGTTTGTGGACGGGTATGTTCCTGCTTATATCTACTTTGTTGACCCTCGCTAACGATCTTAGATTGAAAAATGGATCGAAACCATCTTCCCCAGCCAAAATGCCGAGGCCGCCAAGCGTCGTATCACTGGCGAGCTGACGGAGGCGGAGAAGAAGCAGGCCGAGGAGCACGCCGAGACCCGTAAGGACATGTACTTTATGATGGGTCTCATGGTGGTGATTGTGTTCATCACCTCGATTGTTATGGTATGTGGCTCACACTACATCTTTCCGGCTCAGCTAACCAGACTAGATCTTCACTGCCTGGCTACTTGGTGCACGATTCGACCTGGCGTGGCAGGAGCTGCGGTCCGGCAACTTCCGGCCACCCAGGGAAGTCCGCGCAAAGAAAGAGCTGTAATGCATTCTACGGAGTTATGACTGATTGATCTACTAACTGCGGGGCTTATGTCTTATACCTTCTGCCTACCGCTTATTTACTATACTAATTTATTACCTTCTTCTTCCCTTCATAGGTCTCTATGGTTTTTGCAAGTCGAACTAGCACGGATGTCAAATTGCGATCCAGTCTTTCCATGACTGTGGTTGTGCCGAAGAAGTGCTGATATTGAGCGGATTATTCTGACCAGCGACGTACTAGATTTGTGTCTTCCAACTTAAGTGTTGAGGTGGCATACATCCATTGAGGACCTGGAACATACGTAATTCTGTAGTAAATATGAGTTGAATAATATGACCTTGATTTTAAACGTGATTTTCCTTTAACATATTAAAATGACTTTGTAGTCTCAATGTTGTCCTAACCAACATCATTCTTATTATATAGTCCATACCCAACTCCACTACACTCAACATACCTCTCCCATCTATCTCCCATAAGTAATTACAACACACCCTTCCCCCATAGCCACACCACATCCCAAACCGACCTACCCTAGTGAAAGAAACAAACAACCACCCAACTAAGAAGAAGAAGTAGCCCCCACATCCTCAACAATAACCCCCAGAATCCAAACATTAACCGCAAAGAACCCCAACGAAGCCAAAAACAACCCGGGCATGAAACTACTCAACCCCAGAAACTCAAGATTATATCCTTGTTGCAGCCACAGTGCCTGCCACACATTCATTAATCAGTACCATCCATATATAAGTATTTGATATAGAAATGAACGTGAAGGTGAGGGGATAGGAATTGAACATACCTGCCCAACAACCCACGCAGCCGCAACAACCCCCCCAAACCGCGGAGCCTTCAACATCGAAGAACCCGGTAGATAGAAAGGGAGGAAGATGAGGTACCAGAGGAAATACTGTAACAATTCCTATCAGTCCATCTACCCATCCATGTCGAATAAAGGGAAAGGGGGGGTGCATACCTGACTCGTACAAACCTTATTAAACGTCACAAACGCAAACGTTTGCGCGAGCATCGCACCAGGAAGACTCTTCTTCGCCAGGACGAGCGGGATAATCACAACAGAAAGAAGTAACTGCGGGATAAACGCCAAGGACTCAAAATTCCCCTGCACCTCGCCTGCAGCAGAGAGATAGAGGAGGGTACTGTAAGGGGAGAAGTTATGGCGGTGGTCGATGCGCGTGAGATGGTGGAGGAAGGTATGTTGCAGGAAGGGGGTGTCGTAGAGGTGGTACATGAGGAGATTGAGGAGAGTGAAGGTGATGAGGGAAGTGAGGGTGAGGATGATGCGTAGGGGAGTGATGAAGTTGATCAACTTGGTGAGGATGCTGGTATCTTTGCTTCCAGCAGTGTTCTTTGACGTGCCACTGTTGCTGCCGTCTCGTTCCCGATCCAACCACCAAATAATCGACACTCCGTAAATGAACGGGTAGATCTTGAAATGCACACTCAGTCCCAGCAAGACACCCGCCAGAACCACTCTCCTGCGGAGAACCGCCCACAGCAGAGCAATGACCAGCACTCCGAGCAGCCCCTCAGAGGAACCCCTGGTGCTAATATTCGCGACCATGGGGTTCAAAAGCCAGAAACTAGCGTACTTCAAGGCGCGAGGAGCGTCCATTCCGTACGCGGAGACGAGGGATCTAGCGATGAGCCATCCGGCGAGAATGTCGGAGAGGGCGAAGAGGGCTTTTCCAAAGGAGAAGAGAAGTGATGGGCCGGACCAGGAGGTCGGGAGCAGTAGCCATGCTAGGAGGGGCGTGTAGCGATAAGTGTCTCTTTCGTAAGGCGAGGCGCCGTGCGAGACGTAGCGGGCTGCGTCGGTGAAGACCAGGTAGTCGATGTCGGTGTATTTGACGGCGGAGTTGGCGTCTTGCCAGGCGCCATAGATGAGGAGGATGGCGCGGAGAGCTATGGCGGAGGTGTAGACTAAGGTGGGGGATTGGAAGAAGGATGATGATGATGATGCCATTTTGGAGGGCATTTTGATGGTGGTGTTGTGGTTGGTTACTTCATCGGTGATAGCTTACTCGTGTGGTAGCCTGGTGGTGAGGATTTCGGCTGGATAGGATGTTGTAGGTCGCCCGGACAATATGGTAGTAGCTAGTATGTACAGATCCGGCTGATCTCACCATCCTATGTCTATTTGGTGGGCATCGTGGGTTCTGGTTGGTTAGATGAAGCTATCCCGACGCGAGGAAACGTGACCGGTTCAGTGCTGAGTCAGCAGGAAGATGATCTTGCCCGATTAGGAAGCTGTGTATCTTGAAAAGGAGGATTTCATTCAAAATATTTTGTCTATTTTACTATGTCCCATATTTCTGACGCGGGAATTAAACTACCCGGATTATTCGATATGTGTGTTTTTACTCCTGATTTATAGTGAACAGGCGCCTATCCATATCATAACCTATTGTGTTGACTCAACTAGTAGTTCGTACATTTGTAGATCGAAAATATATTGCAGAAGCGGTACCTTCTGCTATCATGATACCATGTCCTCGGCATAAATCCACCGAATCGCCCGTAAATGCATCAATCATGAATAAGTATGTAATCTGAAACCGCTAAGATAGTGAATGAGCTGTAACAAGTACCAAGCGAGCGAATAATAAAACACCATGTGACAGAATTGAACACCAGCAGCGATGAGGCTGCACCAACCTAGTAGAAAGACGGCCCTGAGTTGATGAAAAATGTTGAATCCCCCAACTGACCTCCAAAATAAGCACTCTCGCTGCTTCCATACTTTGTATTTCTTTCCTCCTGGGGAAACAGTGGTGCGTTGTTTACATTGTCAATATCAGCCAAACCCTGCAACAAGTTACTGTCGCTCCAGCTAAGAAAGTCCCAAAGATACTGCCCAGCAGAATCATTGATAAATTGGGGCTCAAACGGATCCACAAATCCATTCTCGTGTGGCATTGCGCGACCGAAGTCGATTTGCAGCGGGGATACCCCAGGCACTGCGCCAAGATCTTCAGTAGCCGTCACACAGCTACCGCTGTGAATGCTGTGGGCTTCCCCGGTGACATTGTGGCCTCGTTTACCGGCCTCAAATATCCGGGAAACGGCCTCCAGCGTCGATTTGGCGGCTGGGCTCCAAGGTTCCAAACGCTCCAGGACAAGCATTGTCGTTTCCACCTGAGCCTGACACGCTTCAGCTGTCGCTCTTGGATCATCAACTGTACCATCGTTGAGAAACAGCCCTAGAAGAGGAACCATTGCAGCTTGGAAGATAAGCCATACTGCATTCCAGCCTGACATCTGATGGAATTGTGCCTTGGCAGCTACATCCTGTATGGTAGCCTCGGCAATTTCCCTGCATCTTTCAATAGCTGTCCTTTCTTCAGACCTGAGCACAATGTATGGTACCCGCCGCATGGCGTAGCTGAGCAGGGTAGGGCGGTACAAGAGCATCCGCTGATTGTAATATCGCCATTTCATGACAGTTCTCGTGATTGCGATCGACTCTGAGCATGGCTCGTGGTCTTTCAGGATATATGGTAGGTTATCATACCACTCAAGGAGCTGGCTGTCAAGATTTGCCATTTCATGAGGCTTTGTCAACGGTGCTACGGCCAGGACTTCCTGAATTTGGGTCGCGATCTTGCAGAATCGAACATTTTCCAGAAGTGGTAGAAGATCGAGCACATTTCCCTAAATAGGTCAGCAAAAAACTAAGATCATAAAGGGGGGGACATACTGTTTCCCTGTAATGTGGCAATTTAACGGTGATCGCTGGACCCAGTCGACCCATGCTTGGTCGGCCCAAGGTCATGCCACCCCACGTATCCAGACAGAACAGAGACCACCAGACTCGACGTTTGTGATCAACTGAAAATAACCTATTCCTGCTGTTGCCGCATTGACCATCCGAGACTTCCTTGTGCAAGCCCAGAGCTGCGGCCATGCGCAATGCCGCCCCCATCATGGAGTATGCGAGGTTGGGCTGGCTGCTATAGTGGAGGTAATAGCCACCCATGAGGCCCAGAGCTTGAATGGTTTCCACGTGCGGTGAACCAAGGCTTTCCAAATCTAAATGGCTCTTCGACCGCAAATAATATGTTTGATGAGACATGTCATCGGCAGGGGTGGCTGCTATGCTGCCCAAAGCAAAGACAATGTTCAGCAATGCGAGCCATTGCTTGTCCTTCCTGCGTGAAGAAAGATACGTTTGGCGAAAAGAGTGTTCGTCCAGCATTGGAACGAATGGTTGAAAGTAGGTAAAGTAAGCGTCGAGCAGTTGAGACTCGGGCACAGTTGATGTGCCATGGTGCGGCTGAGACCCAAAGACCTGCCAGGCCTGGGCCTCTGGAGAAGCAATTTCCATGACTGAATCCCGACGAACTCCTGTAGCAGGTGCGCGAGACAGGTGAGAGAGGGAGCTCGGCTCCAGCCATACTATCACCTTTAACACAGCATGGATGGAAGAGACACCCAAATAGGAGGATGGCTGTTTGGCCGAGAGAGATAAAGCGTTGACATCGTCGGACACGGTACTCGTGAGCTCGGAACTCTTCAATTCGCGATCATCAGTTGTGTGATCAGGTATGGTTTGTAAAGACTCGAGATTGCCGTCTTCGCTGGATGCCGGAGATGCGTGAGCCTCCACTGATGCCGAGGTTGCTGGGGATGCCGGGTGTGGCGCTTGCGTCTGCATCTGGGAAGCCCCCTTGCCTGTCAGCTCCAAGAGTTTGTCCCGAGGCAAGTTGACCAGGGTCTCCGCTGGAATGCCTGGGAAGAGCTTGTCAAGCACTCCCCTAAATTCATCGAGTGTGGTCGATAGTTTCTCCACATGCCTGCTTGATTGATACATTTGTTAGTTTCGAGTCGTCCCTCGATCGCGGCTGCAGTGGAGGAAGGGGACAGTCACACCTGCGAGATGGCCGAGGATCAGAGTACTGACACAAATCTGCTTTCTTATACCATCTGCATGCTTCACATGGCTTTTCTCCGTCACATTTAATTTTTCGGTGCCG